GCGTTTTTTTATGCATTCAGGTAGTTGATTCCACAAATATGGTGCAGCGTAGGAGAATGCTCTTTGCCCATACGTTTTAGTTCGAATTGTTGGGACCTCAAGTAGATTCATGTTTGATGAACGGAGGTTTCGTGCTGGAATATATCGACTAAGAAGTTCAACAATATAGATATAGGCATAATAGCGAGATAATAAATGTAAGAAATCAACTTGTATCAATCCTGCAAATTTGCCTTTAAACTTGACTGGTACATTTCAGATGCTGAATTTTTCAAACTGCGCTAAGCACAGGCAGCCCAAGCTCACTGCTAGAAAAGTAGACGTGACTCTTACAGTGTTGCACAACATTTTATATTTATAAAGGTTTGTATGGGATGTTATCGGTTTGCCTTAAAAGAGAGAAAAAATGTCTTGTTTTGAAATAAAATGGACTTACCTTATTGCCTTGTTGTTTTCTTTGTTGATTACCAGCGTCTCAGGCCATTTTGAAGCATTTTCGGCGAGTTAGCGATATTTTGGTGTTCAACTGCTAAAATAAAGACAAGGCCGGACACCCAATTTAGAAGTGTCTGTCGCCCGAAGTGAATAATTCCACCAAAACCTTACCACCAGTCTCGATTCCTCCAAAAAATCAAAGCAGAGATGTTGCAGTTCCATTTCTATTTACTTGATTCCCAATTCCTCCCACAGATCTTTCATTCATGATGCTTTTATCTCCAGTTCAATAGGCTTTCCAATTTCAAATTAGGCTCATTGAAACAATCGTGACCCCGTTCGCCGATTGCATACTATGTTGGGTAACAAAAATAAGCCCGGCGAGGGTAGCCAGTGGCCAGCAGGGACCAGGGGAGCTAACTGGTTTGTTTGTCGACTACAGGCTGCTGGCTACCCTCACCAGGCTTATTTTTGTTACCCGACATACTATGTGACCAGCAAACTGGGCCACGATTGTTTCAACGAGCCTAATTCAAAATTGGAAAGCCTATTGAACTGGAGATAAAAGCATCACTAGTGAAAGATCTGTGGGAGGAATTGGGAATTGAGTGAATGGAAATGGAACTGCGACATCTCTGCTTTGATTTTCTGGAGGAATCGAGACTGGTGGTAATTTTTTGGCGGAATTATTCACTTCGGGCGACGGACACTTCTAAAATGGGTTTCCAGCCTTGTCTTTATTTTAGCAGTTGAACACCAAAATATCACTTACTTGCCAAAAATGCTTCAAAATGGCCTGAGACGCTGGTAATCAACAAAGAAAACAACAAGGCAATAAGGTAAATCCATTTTTTTTCAAAACAAGACATTTTTTCTCTCTTTTGAGGCAAACTGATAACATCCCATACAAACCTTTATAAATATAAAACGTTGCATAACACTGTAAGAGTCAGGTCTGCCTTTCAAGTAGTGAGCTTGGGCTGCCTGTGCGCTAAGTTAGTTTGACATGACAATTAATACACCTCACCTTTAAACACTGATTGTATTATTGGGGGTGGTTTTGAAGCCAGGAAAATCTTCTTCACATGTTTACTAAGATGACCTCCCTACAAATTGTGGAAATGCAAAAATGATTGAAAGCTGGTTTTAAGAATTCTGTAGGTAAATAGACTGGGAAACCATAACTTTCACACATCTATGTTCCCACACATTTTTATCACTAGTTTTTTTTTTTTCCCATTTGTGTTTCCTTTGCTAGTAATTAATGAAGTATCCAATTCCCCTTGCAATTTTGTAAAATAAAATTATGTACATGCACACATCTTAGTTCATTTACAATTATTATAAGACTATGGAATAAGCTGATGAGAAAATATGAATGTGAAATAAACTTGTACAATTCAAACATAAGATCTCAGACAAGCTTTTATTCATTAATATTTTTAGTAACATTTAAAGGAAAAGAGAATCTCATGATTTGGAGATAACAAATCAAACACTTCAGGCTCACCGTATCACTTGGAATGAGCAGTTGGCGTAAAAACCTAGCTCTGTCTCTAACATCATAACTCTGGTCATATTTTGCAAGGTTCAGTACATACTGTCCAAGAAGTTTTGTCTGAAAGGGATAAAACACAAATGTTAAAGTTTGTTGTTATTATCCAACTACACTCTGTAGAGTACAAATAATGCCATAGACAAGTACAAAGATCACGCGGTATTTGTACTCCAGAACTGGTTAGAGCCCTATGGGCTCTTCAAAATACGTCACAACTCGTAAAAATGTTCAGCAATACTACACAACAAAACGTCTAATAATATATATTTCCTGAATAAGAAAGGAGGTGAGAGGTGGTTATCATTACATAAATTTATTCAAAATATGAATTCAAGTATTGTTCTTTTCCCGAGTTGTTGGGTCTAAGACTTTCTAAGTTATTGATAGCATATTTAGTTTTTATGTTTCTTTGTGTGCAGCATAGCCTGCGTCACAGACAGGCTAAACTGCCGGTATACAACAGGGATTGTGTGACACATCCAGCTGCAATGCAGGCTATGGGCAGCAAAGCTCCATTAATTTAAAGCCTTTCTCAAGAAAAAAAAAAAAAAAGTGACCCCTATCAACCTCTCCCAAAAGGCTATATTAGTCAAACTCTAATACAAATGGAATATGCATCTGGAAAAAAAAATTACTTAATATGTTAGTGTACTACATACCTGCTTAGGGTTTGTGATGAAGAGCTTTGCAGCTAAATTCAAAATTTGTAACTTGACAATGTCTTCCTGCAGTTATGAAAATACACCTTATCTTTATGATATATTATTTGAATTCAAATTATGTTGTGTTTCAAACTTTCTTTTAGTTATCCACTAAAATTGTGGGACAAATCTGCAGTTGCAGTTAACAAATGACTTTCAGTCTACTACCATTATTCAACCACTCAACAAGTTTTTTATACAACCACTTATCATGACAGTACTATATTTTTGACAAATGCTGGGGTTATTGTCACTTTCAGTCTACTTTAACTGAAGTTTATCCATAATCATACAGTACCAGGTATATCTTACCTCCGATCCAAATGTTTTTGCCATTTTCCTCAAAACATCTGGTGCTACCTTGGGCACTCTTTCACAGTATTCTCCCAATAACCACAGAATACTTGCTCTAGCCATTGGTACCTATTTCAAACATAAGAGCTGTGACAACACTTCATAAAGAGAAATAAACCTTGCTCATGCTTCAGGATTAACTGAGAACTCTTATTCAAGGATTTTTGCCTAGCAGACATTGACTGAACAAACAAATGCAGGGCGTGTATATTCAGAGAAATATAACTTCATTTCCTGTTAAGTTTGGGTTCAACTGATGTTGTACCATCAAGATGGCAACACAATTAAAATAAGGTTTGCCATAAGTGCAAAATTTACTTGGAAGTTATGTCAAAGCAGTAAAAGTACATACCCCATTCACAACAACAAAACATGTTTAGTTACACTGGATTTAACTGAATGAAAACCAGAAACAGAGAAATGTAAATTTACATTTTCCATAGGACTTAATAAGTAATTGCTGTCTTGTATTTTCAATTGCTACATTTGAAGAAGACAAACAATTGGTTTAAACAGCTTCTCTGAAAAAAAAAAACATATTCAATGACACAGCTTTGTTGTGAATGGGGTATAAGTTTGAAAATATGAAACTTTGAGACTTGATCACTGGAAAGGGGAGTGACTTGCATACATGTACACTAACCGTGATAGTATCTACTAATTTTGCCATGTGCATGATGATCTCTGAATTCCCCTTGGGCTGCAAAAAATAGGAAGAAAAGTCTAATACCAATGATAAACAGCAAGTCCACTTAGGTTTAAAAAATTATTGCATTTAAAAACATGACATATTAAATTATGATATGGTGTAACTTTGAAAATCAAAATAAATATAACTTAACACATTTCATAATTACCTTAAGCTGTAGAAGTTTTTTGATGACTACTACACTCTCTGCCACTACTATCTCTGTTGACAATCAATATTAATCAAGAGTGAATAATTCTTTTCCAGAATCATACAGACTGCATTAATTATACTCTGGTACTTAAATTTCAATGTTCACTTTTCCTTTAAATAATGTTTAAAGCTTGATTTCTCAACTGGTGTTGAGGTTACATCAACAGGTAGTGCCAAAACAGCCTGGTAAATACCAGTACAAGTTAGATTCGCATGTAGCCATCACAAAAAGTTTACGTACCATCTCTATTAGAAAGCAGTCTCACAAGGCCAGCTAAGCAGGTCTCTGTAACCTCGGAGATGTTTGAGGCACATCGCCCAATGGCTTGAATTGTTGATGCCACAAACTGTTTATCTGGACTGGAAATATAGCTCTGAAAGAAAAAAAAAAAAACATAAAAAAATTTAATTTGCATTGATCAGAAAGATTGTAAATTCAATTACTCAGTTGAATCATAATAATAGTATTATTATGAGCATGAGAGAGGGCCTTCAAACATAAAATCATGACCTTCTGAACACTTTTGACATTACTGCTCATAGCAATACGAAGGACCACTCAATCATAGGTTTTTTACTTTTAATGGTCAACACAAATAAACAGAGAAACAAATTTCTGAATAAAACAAAAGTTGCTTAAAATCCTAATAGTCCATTTTACAATTGTGTGCTTGGTTGCCAAGCCTTTGAATGGGAGTGAGTCTAGAGATGACCTTGTTATGATAGAAACCTTGCTGCCTTTCAAATGTAAATCACTTTGTTATCATGCTAACTAGATACAGGTCTCTATCACAACAAGGTCATCTTTAGCCTCACTCTGAATCAAAGGCTTGGCAACTAAGTACACAACTGTAAAATGGCCTATTGTCAGAAGTAGTCAAGACCAATTAGCTATATTTATATGTAGGAAATAGCCATGAAAAATGGACTTAAAGAGAAAGAACAATTCCAGCAAATAGCAGGGTGAGGATGACCGGAGGTAGGTTGACCCCAAAACAAATAGATGGCAAGTTCAGCATCCTAACCATTAGCTGTCACTGCCTTGGTACATGCACAGAAGATAATAAATAACAAATAGATGGCAAGCTCAGCATCCTAACCATTAGCTGTCACTGCCTTGGTACATGCACAGAAGATAATATAAACATTTTTAATTACTTTACATGAAACATTTTGAAGCTACTTAAAAAAAAAAAAATTAAAAAAAAAAAAACATGAGTGTACACCTGGAACTCTCTAAGTATTGTACCAATACTTGTCTCTCCGGCAATATTTGTCATAACTTCAAGCTACAATGAAGACAAGAATAGAAAGAAAAATCACATTCACACAGAACAGGTAGCTTCTTCTTCTTTCTAAGCAATACATATTTGTTAGGCATTAGTTAGGGCACATGATAATGATAATATTAGGGAAAGCCTGAAATAATTCAACATCTATTGCCTTTTAAGTTAGATTTTAAAAAGAAGCTATGAGAGGTCATGAAAATTAATTTTGCTTTATTCTTGTGATTTACTTACAAACACTGAAAGAGTAACATCACATGACAGGGTGTCATAAACTTAAAATAATATATATATAAAGAACCCATGATGTCCGTTTACTGAAAAACTCCAAATTACTCAGACCTATCATTAGTAAACTGAATAATTACTTTCAATAAACGGATGTGTGTAGGATCATTAGAATGGACAAAGAATCCTTTCAAGTATGGCTCAAACATTCCCTGCAAAAAAAGTTATCAACAGATTATTTCCTGTCAAAAATTTATGCTGCACAACCAGCTATAGATATTGGATTATTAAAAACATAAACAACAAGTTGGTCATAATTTGTATCATAAATACATTTGCTGAAATACTAACTGATGTCTTATTAACCAAGCGCGAGGGCCGTACTGGGAGAATATCAGCCCAAGGTCTTGACAGTATGGATGTCCATACAAAAAAGACCGAGGGCCGATATTCTTCCAGTACGGTCCCGAGCAACCTTGGATAATAAGAGATTTATTACACAACTGAAGTTCAAAGGGACACAAGTGCGGTATCATTCGGGACCATTTGGGACAGTGCCCGGTCCAATACTGAGAGAATATTGACCGGCAATAGAGCATTTTGATTGGTTGATTTTAGTTATTGGCCCTCTGACTGCCCAAGTCGTGTAATAAAGCCTGATAAACAATAATAAAATAACCATTATTTGAGCTGCTTTCTGCAACCCCGTCAGGGCTTTTAAGCAAAAATGTTTTTCGTTAAAAAAAGTGTATTCTACTTACTAGTGACCATTACTTTGACAAAAAATAAAATGACAGTTAAGCAGTAAACATGGGAGAGCCATTAACCCTGTGCACCCTACTATCTGTATGTATACTCTACATGCTGTTCCCCTACTATCTGTATGTATATTCTCCATGCTCTTCCCTATACATGACCTAAGAGAGCCATTAACCCTGTACACCCTACTATCTGTATGTATATTCTCCATGCT